TACTTATTTAATGGACTTATTTAGTACAGGGTCTGGCTACACAGCTTGGACTCATGGTGCTCTTCCTGTCTCAGCCTCCCCACTCCTCGGATTACAGGCTTGTGCCACCTTGCAAAGTGTTGGGCCAGAATGGTGCGCCAGGGGTTCCGGAGATTGAACCCAGGTCCTTATGCTTGCCAGGCAGGCACTTAGACAGCTAAGCTATCTCCCCACTCCCTCTTTCTTTCATGCCTAAAATTGTGAGCGACTTTCAAACTGAGCCAGCAGACTCCAACCTTTAATTTCAGACTAAGAACATTATCAAGAAAAACCAATGGTTCAGGAGCTGATTTTCAATCCCTGTTTTCCCATTCTGTGTCTACTCTACTTTGCTCCTTCCTGCACAGGACACTATTTTATGGCTAATTACTGACTCTATTGCAGAATGACCATTGGTGCTTCCCTCTGCTGCAGTACAGCTTTTACTCATTGTCCTGCCTCATTCAGCATGTGATTTTTTTTTTTTTCTCCAGATAGTGCTTCTCTTTGTAGACTGGTGTTGAACTCACTGTGTAGGCTAGGCTGAACTTGAATGCCCAACAATCCTGCCTAACTCCACCCAAACCCCCTTGCCCTGCCCCAAGTGATGGGATTACAGGCATGTGCCACTATAGTTGGCAGGTATGTCATTTTTTTAAACAATGCCTATAAACTATCCATGAACTACAGCAATTATATAAGAGATGATACTTTACTATCTTTTCACCCATTTACATATCACCTGTGGATGCCCTACTCCAAAGAGATTCAAAGTTTGGGTTTACCAGTCAGCTCTTTCTAGGGCCAGCAAGATAGCTCAGTGGACTAAGCACCTGCTTAAGCAAGCACAGGGACTGGGATTTGATCCCTGGCACCACATGGTGCACTGGTCCCACCCCAGGGCATGCTGAGCCGGCCACAGACCCAGTGTGGTGGCACATGCCTGAAATCACAGCGCTGGGGAGGCTAAAAACAGGAGGATTACTATGAGTCCAAGCTGCATAGTGAGACCCTGTACCAAATATGAACAAAAACTCCAAACAACAGTCATTTCTTTCTGGAAATTGTTCTTTATAGTATCACTTCCATCTTTTCTTCTTTACAATGATAACTTCCTGTCCATTTTTTGGCATTCTAAATGACAAGAATTATTTATTTATTTGCTTTGGATGTAATACAGTAGTTGAATCTGGTTTGTCCAGGTCCTTAACACGGAGCCTCCTCATAGGCAATATTACACATTTTT